AATTTGATTAGGTTCATGAAGGATAGCTTAATGTTGTTTCTAAATCCACTTAGAGCACACCTGATGATGTCCATGCTCTTTCTTAGCCGAGCATTGATAATAATGCTGTCATGAAAGATCCCCCACTACAGATGTCCATAAATTTTAGTTCAGTATGTACGTAACTGTAAATTTGCGGATTATCTACTTCCCCTTTACTTCTTCAATACGCAATACAATTCGCATTTATGTAGTACCTTTCACATGGTGAGAACTTCTGTGTATTAATCACAGCTTCTTCTATGGTACACCACAGTTGTACTTTTTGTTTAAAACCTGGAAAATTCCAAACAATTTCCCCTGGCCATTCTTTATTGCCCTCACAGTTGTGTTTTCTTATTCTTACTTTCTATGTGTAGAACCTTGCACTGTGCTATATTGAATTTCACTTGCCAGTCATCAGTCCATGCGCCTCCTATCAAACTCTGTTTGTAAGATCTTTGCTGCCTCAAGTTCCCTCCAACTTGGTGTTTATCTGCAAATGTAACTAGCTTACACTTAGATCTTTAATGTAGAACAGGAAGGATCCCAGTACAGACCCCTGAGGAACCTCACTTAATACCTCCCCTTATTTTTGACGCAACTTCTCGAAAACAACCCTTCACTGCCTTCCGTTCAGTCAGTATTGAATCTTATGTCCACATTTTGCCCTCTATATATGGTGTTGTGAAAATGGAGTTTCCCAGTAATGAAAAAATCTGATATTGTGTCTCACAACTTTAGATTTGATTTTCCAGCCTGTTAAAAATAAATCACATAAATGCTGACTTCAGCACCAGCTCAGACAAAGAGTCTGAAGGATATAAAGTGTATTATTGTGAGCTGGAACTGCTGAGAAAATTAATTGTTACTGTAGAGGGTAATCTTCACAAGAGGTTTACAATTTGAATTTTACATTTGTTGCATAGTAAGTAAGATGAGACTATTGGGGTTAAGATGCAACATTTCACAACAGATTTGACAATGTGGGACATTTTATCTGTTATAAACATCTGTACAAAATTTGAACACTATAGTCTGCATTGCACAGCATATGAAATAACTAGGAGATACAATTCCCAAGCCATTATTTTGGTCCTGTATATGTGGGCAAAACACGCTCACTCTTGAAACTCCTTTAAAACACAAACCAAGGACAATTATGTGTGGAGAAATAAATGTTTCCCTAGCAACCTCTGTGTTACAAGTGTAGAGAGACCTTAACTAGTCATGGTCCCTGTAGAAACAACCAAGACAAAAATGATCAACTCAGCGACTACTCTGCTGCTTAGAATTGGGATAATAAAGTCACCTTGAAATATCTGACTTTATTCCATGGTCAATTTGGTGCTCATACTCCACTTTGGTGAGACTAGCTACTGAATAAGTGCTGAGTACAATAGGATCCTGATGCGGAAAGTCTCTCATTAAAGCAATTTACTACATATGTGATTCACCTTACGTTTATCGAGAGCACTAATCTGGCAATGTAAATCAGGTTTATTTATTTCTGAAATGAGATAATGACAGCTTGGCTGATACATTCAGTAGTCGTCTTGTCTCTGAATCAGAACGTTGTGGGTTCAAGCCCCACGTCGGGACTTTGAGTTCACTGTCTATGCTGGCCCTCCAGTGCAGTGTTGGGAGAAACGCATTGATGGAGGTGTCATCCTTTGGAAGAGATGTTAAACCAAGGTCCTGTCTGCCTGTTAAAGATTCCATAACTCTATTCGAAAGGAGAAGAGACTATCTGCTGGTGTCCTGGCCAACAATCCCCCAGATAAAAATTGATCATTCAGTTTATGACTGTTCAGTTCATTGAGTTTTACTGAAACAAAGTGCTGGTATACAAAATGGCAATTCTAAGGAGAGTGCAGGTGTGGTGAGTGAATTGTTCCTTTTAAACAAACACTGAGGAAAACATTATTTACTAAGAACCGGCTTGAACTCTTAATTGTAAGTCACTACGGACTTTACTTCATACAGTTACTTCACTATAGCAATTGGAATGGGATTAAAAGATGAATGGGAAACCATTGAAATGAAAAGACACTTAGAAGCGGTTGCTCGAGGTTACTCTGCAATCTGCTACCAGGAGTTGATTAGGTGAGTGTCACAACACTTTTTCCATTCAATTTCCTTTCCCCAAGGAGTTGCACTGTTTCAGCACAAAGCGCCATCTAGTGATTCTGGCCAATAAGCAACACATCTGATTCAATCAAGGCAAGCTAGGTCAGTCAACTGATGGCAATCGTGGGGCTCGAGCTTTGGTTTAGGAGTGAGTGAAACATTTAGGGTTCTGGACCACTCGTGGTATCATGATCTTGGATGATTGGATTGTTTGGATGACGCCTTTAACCCCCCAGAAGTGATTATCAGAGAAACCTTCTTTGCCGTGTTCTCTTTAATACACTCTCAGACCCCTGCTATTCTATTATTGCTTGCTATCAGCCTCATCGGCTGAGATATGGTTGTACATGGCATGTGGTCACTGGTGGATTCACATGAGCTAATGGGTCTCGTGATTCTCTTGTCTGTAATATACACAAGCAGGCCTGCTGCTGTCCGAGTGCAGTAAGGGAAGACTTGCCTTCAGTGGCCCCAAAGACCTTGAACTACAGTGCACTGTTGCACATCAGCACAATGTCTCTTTTAAAGAAAATAAACATTCAGAAATTTTGTTGGTTACATTTCTGGCTGCTAATGATTTTTCTCATGGAGTTCCAAGTTAATTGCATTTTTATAAAGTACTTTAACTCCTAAAGTACCGATTAAAGATTTTATATCACAATGTGATCTTGCTACATGGCAGAAATATAGCAGAGCTGCAGTGTTGACGAGAATCACATTTGAACAGTGATAGCAACTTCTGAATCTACAAAAATAAGTGTTGAGCATTGCCTCTGATTTCTTGAAAGGATTAAATTGCTGTTTCTTGCCCCCCTCCTACACCATAAACCTGTCACCACCAAGCGTTGAATTTCTTAATTACACCTAAAAGAAACTATACTAAACTCTTTGGAGAATCCAAAACAGGTTAATCTATAACCAAACTAAAGGTGTATTTTTTTTAGTCATGTATTGAGAAGCAGATTTCTTTTCCATCCAATTTTTTTTCTCTAAAATGACAGTTGGGTCAAACAAACAGAATGTAAAATGCTTACAGGAACTAAGGTCAGGTTGGAGGACTGTTTTGTAATACATTCTGAGGAGAATGGAAACACCTTTATCTTAAATCAGCAATAATATCTCTGCTCTGAAAGGGCTAATTAGAGATGTCCTTTCTTCCAAGAGACAGTGAAGTATGGCAGCGCTCTTAAATGAAAATGAAACATTCCTACCTCACAAGTATTGCCTGTGTGAGTGAGTCCAAAAGGATCTTTCTCACTGTAGTATACTGGAACTCTCTGACTCTGGTAAGATAAGATTATTTTACTGGGTCTCATAGTTCAGGTTCAGACATTCCAATATGAGCCACAAGAGCACACAAGCCACATAAACTGATAGTGATGCAAATACTGTACTTCCATCTTCCATTTCACAATCACATCCAAAATTGCCATATGAATAAAATCAAAGCTATTTGATGACAAGATCCTAATTGTTATATGTTCCAGACTTCCCTGTGATAACATACTGTCATTCTTCAATGCTAAGCCACACACGACAATGTCAATTTTACACAACTCATCATTTGTTTTTAAATTTTGTTTTTCTCCACACATGGAAAGTATCACTTGTGTGGGTGGAGAGTGAGATTACTAATCACACCCACAGAATAGTGGTGGTATTTACAGTGAAAAGAAAGAGAGAGATGTTCTTGAAGATTGCACGTAGAAAAACAGTCTGATGTCTTACAATGTACAACTGCAGGCACTTCCAATGATGTAAAACCCTTTTGAACACCGAATATTCTTTGTATTTTTCAATACTGTTATATTTTCTAACCATAAACGGATATTAAGGTGACTGTGGTATATTTTTACTGCAGGAGTAGCGTAAATTGAATCATAGGAATTAATGGAAACTGTATTGCATTAAACTTAATTTGATACTTGAATAAAGTAAAACCTCATCGGTTGCTATGTTCACTTACAGTAAATCTACTCAAGCGATTTGGGACGTCCTCCTGACATGAAAGGCACTATATCAAATGCAAGGATTGTTATTACTCATTGAGCCCCAAACAGATCTATCTGCCTGCCTGTGCATAAACCAAACGAGGAAATGCTGCTGTGATCCTGAAAGGGTTAATTTCTTGTTTTTTTTTAACCGTATCGAGGCAGACTTGTCTTGAAGACATCCTGCGCTCAGTCCCAAAGATGCTGATTATCTTCAGGTTGGTCATGGAAATGCCAAATATTTATATGAAAGTATATGTACTGAACATAATTGTTCAAAAAATCAATATAATTTATGCACAATTCACTGACAGATGAGGTGCTATCCTTCCGGTTAGGTATTAGAGAAGCAGGATGTGAAACTAGAATTGTTTTATTCATTAGTATATTCTGTTACTCTCTGGTGCTATCATAGGTAAGGTTTCCTGTAAGTAATATCATGTGGAATTTAAACAAATACCAGGGATCAATGAAGTGTTGTAATGATAAAAGGCTGATAAGACTCATGCATTCCACTCTGTGATATAGCCATAAACTGCACCAGGGGTGAATGAGGTAGATTTCTCTTTCCAGCTAATTAACACAGCTGTTTCGTAGTAAATAAGGTGAACCTTGCCCCTTGGGTGTGCAGAAAATCAACTGATGGCAGGATAATGCCTGCTACAGATGTGCTGTGAATGCACAAATAAACCCTGTCAGGAATCTGGAAGGTCCTTGAATAGCACAGAGAGCTTTAGACAGAACTAAACACGACTGATCCACTTAGTAACTTTCCCCCCACCATCACCACCACCTCACACAGCTCACACAGCTCATTCACCAATTAGCCCTGGAAGGTACCAATCACGGAAATCTGGAGTGCTTTAGATGGGAATAGCATTGCTCCGCCTCTGCTTCTAGGAAACACCCAGCCTGAAGCTTTCACACTGGGTGCAAGTAGAGTACAGTGCATAATCCAGGCGTGTTTCAACAGATGGTTGGAGCTGGCCTAATTCAGTCATCGCAGTTGAATGAGGTTGAGAGGAGAAGCTATTGAGAGCCCCTTTTGGAGCTGTGTGGTCTCAGAGTTTGCTTGGCATTGTTAAGCGGACTCTTTTTGAGCAGCCTCTTGTCCCAGAAATGAGAGGAGACTGACTGATAAAGGTACTGTGTGTGTGTGTGTGTGTGTGAGAGAGAGCTGCTGCTTTGCTGCTGCTGTTTCATTCTATACTTCTGCTTGCCAGGTTCAAACACCCACTATGTTACCATGCTGATTGCAGTCAGCTTGTCTTGTGCTGAAGGTAAGACTTTTATCCAAGCTGTTTCATGTGGTGGAAAGGTTCATTTTGTCAATAACGTGTCAACTTTATGGCTGTAAAATCTTGAGCAGTGTTACATCTGTCGGTGTGCTTTTTCAATACTGTTTTCATCACTGCTTTACCTAGTAATGTAGTGACAGTAATCTGGAAATTCAACCCGTGAAGCACAGTAACCAGTAGGAATGAACCCAACTAAGGAAGTAGAGAGTTATATATACATATATATACATATAATGTATTTCCTGTATTTGACTTGTACATCATTTCTTCATTTTCCCTGCCAGAGAATTGTTAATTTACAGATTTCCTATGTGTGTGGTTACCTGTTAGAACTGCGGTTACACAGAAACTTCAATTCTCAGTTTTGCTGAGGGAGAAAGAGAGACTTTGACTCAGTTTGCCTTTATTTTTTGCTATTTATAAGCTGCGACTATTTCATTGCTTGCAATGTGCACTAAGGAGGAACTCAGTTGATCAGCTTTGTGATATTAAATGGAATCAATCCAGGAAAGCTAATCTTTCCAACTTGCTCAGAACCTGTACTCTTAGTAAGCTATATGAGAGTGTGTTCATTGACAGTGCCATATCCATGCAAACCTACATAGTGTTTGTTATCTGGTTGATGGGATGATTTCACTTCCAGATATTAAAAGGGACCATATTTGTTTGATTCATTTTTGAAAACCTTTGCATTTTAAATTCGCAACACATAACACTTCTGTTTGCATTTTGGATTTTTAAATTAGAATTTTTTATAAAATGATCTTTTTGCAATGTCATCTGTTTGGAAGCGCGGTTGAAAATGATTACATTTTAAGTTGGTTGACTGTTGATTTAAATACGATTTTTTTCCCTCTCCTTTACTTTACCCTAAAATCCTTGCCTCTTGCCTTTTTTATGCAAATGTCTGCATTTTGTTCGGACCATGTGATTGAGCTCAGACATTTAATACAAATAGTGCACTTTGTCATTTTGTGTGAGAAAAAAATAGGGTTCAGTGAACACATGGCACACTAATAGGCATTTCTACGGCAAAGGGCATCAATTACGTTTTCTTATAATTGGCTTTCAGACCATCAACAAACATATTGGTGCATTGGGCAGTTAGACAATTCTTATAAATCGAAACGTTCAGATTTTAAGAGTTTTATTTCTCAGGATTTAAGAGTTTTAAAGCCGTCTAGCACGTCCTCCTGAAGTGAAAGGCGCTTTATAAATGGAATCTTGTTGTTGTTGTTGTAATCTTGTTGTTGTTGTAAATTAAAAATGCCAGCAATATGGAGAGAATGTTCAAGCGAAAAGATTAGGACATGAACTCACTTTCATTATTTATTTGTCCTGCTTGAACGATTAATGTGGAAATTTTATGAATTGTAAATTTCATGGATTTAAAAACCAGAATCAAAGCAGAAATAATCTCATAAAAACCTACATTCTGTTCTTTTCATACCCTGTAACTACAAGGTTGCACTTGTGTCTTCAATGCTTACGTCCCAATGTGTAGATTGTCGTGTCTCAGAGAATGACTGGGAATTGTACTGGGATTTGGTCTGGTTTTATTTAATAGCTATCCTACCATTGTGTGCCAGCCATGACTGAATCCAATCTGAAAGGTGCAGGAATAAGCTCAGTTAGAAACACTGGACTTGTTTTTGAGCAGTACATCAGGGTGCACACACAGGCATATGAACGCTTTCACCTGGAATATTTTGGCTTGATATAATTTCTTTTGTCTGTTTCGTCCTTGGGTTTGACAAAGCGTCTGCAGGCACAGTCTGTGCCTGACATTTGCACCCACAATGTGAGCGCATCCATTGGGATGTACTTTGGACCTATCTAAATAATGAAAGGGGATGAATTTTCCCCAGTGTGTTGAGCAAGGCGCTTTGCACGGGGAGATTAGAGTCAGGTGAAGACTAGTAATGTGTGCGACTCGGGGGAAGCGTCTCGATTTCAAATGATTTTTTGATAACAAAGTGTTCCTGTCCACATTGAAGCGGAAACGTATCAACTGGCCAGGTTGAATCACAATGAAGCAGTTGCTTCTTGAACATGTATCAGAGAACTGACCCTTACCTGCTGTAGCGGCCAGGGAGAAGGGGCTGCCCCATATCTCTTGTGCATGTCACATTGACGGCTGGAGCTATGGTCTGACCGAACACAGAATTGATTTAAATATTAATGAGGCAATTTGAATAGTGCATGATTCGCACAAAGCCAAAATTGGAATTCTGTGCACGTCGAGAATCGACATTTATATCCCCAAATGCGTGTCTGCGAATAAATAGAAAATTGAGCCCATTGAGTTAATACAAGGCGTTGCTCTCGCAGTGGTGATACCTGTTTTGATTTCTGATTCCGAATATTTTTTTTTACTTTGCATATTTCACTTTCCGAATTTTTCGCTGCTCAACCTGTGCGCGGTTGAGAATTTTGTCCCTTTTTGTTGGTAATTTCTGTTCGGCTTCAGTCGGGCCACTGGAGGGCGTTCTGTTGTGGTGGTGCATCACTTGAGCTGGAGGACGAGCGAAAGCAGCAGCTGTGAGGGTGGGACACAAAAGGAAAAGTATTTTCTCTGAAGTATGACTCATAGAAACTTTGTCATTGTGAAACACAAATGATTGCTTTCAGCAGTGCAAGTCCGTACTGATCGGGAGTATTGATTATATTTGCGCAGACACTGTATGATGTCTGGATCTTCTTAGGCTTGATGTGTTCTTAACAATAGACCAGGAAGAAAGTGGCATCGATTCGCTTCTCTTTCACACCTTCTACCTCACACTGGACCATCTGAACACAAATGCTTCTACATGTAAAAAGGTACATGATTCTTACCCTCCTTGAACTCGTGGCGAATGAACACATTTCTCTCCTGCCACTCAACTTCTGCCAGGTCCCAATTACATGGCTTCCACCAGACTGCTGGGTGGTAAAATGGTTTTCCACTTTTCCCCACAAGGTGCTGGATGTGGTTCCCTCCACGTACGAGACGACGGAGACTTAGATGTGAAACTCCATTGTCTTTACTAGATTGTTTGCATGTTGAGATTAGTAAACGTTCCTGGGATAGTCTAGTGACTGTCCTAAAGCCACTTGTGGTAGTCGCTACACGCCAAACATCTGGCTTCGGACTCCTTTCGTGTGTTGCAACTATTCAAGTCAGCATTTCCACAGACAGAGCGTCACTCTACCCATCTGGAATGTACTGGACTGATAGGTCATGTCACAAAGTATCACAAAGAATCCAAATTGATCTGCATTCCTTATATGAAATACGAAACATGTACATTTAACCTGCTCTTCAGTTTTCTTGTGAAAGTGATCAGCGTTATGAATGGCCTTGAACATCCTGCATGAAAACTGAAATTAGAGACTGGATTTTGTTTGTAGACTATAATACTAATCGGTATTCCAACCACCACTGGAACACAGTGCATCTGTTCATCATAAACTCCTTCTAACCCACCAGGAAACTGCCCTATTGACTACTCTAAACCTCACGTGCAAGTATAGAGACTCTGTCTGGCTGCTCTTCACTGATGCTTTCAAATGACCTGACATGACCTATCAGATAACGCTGTTAATCCTTTATGCCTGGCAGATATATGCAACATTAACACATCAGGAGGATTATCAGGGCAGTGATCGCGAGAGTCGATACAGCTGAAAGGAACTGACATGAAGGAAAGCCTTGTGGCTTTCGGATTCGTCATCACCCTAACATGTGCAATTCTCACAGTCAGCAAGGAATTGCTACATTTCCTCTAGTCCATCCATTCATCCATCTGAGCTTGATGATAAGACTGTCTGTTGCGGTAACTTGTTTTACAGTTAAAATCGACGGTCTGTTTCTAAAGATGGAAACAAACTTTTGAGAGCAGTTTTAATATGACCCAACGCAAATGTTGAGAAGAGTTTCCTGCTTCGGATAAGCTCTTGATCCACTTTTAAATTGCCTGTTAATGCAGCTATCTCAAACCTATTGAAATCTGGAGTCCAATATAGCGAGAACATGCTGTAGATACTGGTGAATCAAATTTGGGGAGGGGTCACTGTTGTTTTTCAAAACTTGTTTCAACACACAATTTTTATCAGTGAAGCAAAATGTGGAGTCAAGTCCTGAGGGAAAAATATAATCTCTTCTCTCTCCCCACCCACAGCCTCCCCCCCCCCACCCACAAGGAAAATAGTTATTGTGCTCAGTTAACCCATTAACCCTATTCGCTTCATCTTGTAAATTGTCGGGCCTGGATTAAAATCTTGATAAAATGTTTGTCTTTTAAAACCTACCAAAATTCCTATTGTATGCACTCACTCTTTGCGTGCAATAAAACAGCCTTCTGAGTTAATCTATCATTGCCCCAGTGTCTGAACTGTAAAGCTCAATGTTTCTCACATTTTAATGGTCCAATTTTCTTGTCACAGTGGCTTCTTACAATCTTGAGTGTGAACACCCTGGATAAAAATTCCAACACAGTGAATGCTGACTGTTTGGGATGGGAAAAGGGGGGAAGGGAATCTGAGCCTCTAACTTGAACTCAGTTCCCTGAAATTAAAGGGATGGGGTCACCACAGCAAAACCTTGCAAGGCACAGATAGAACCAAGTTAGTTCACGCAGGCAAACGAGATACCTTGCAGCATTGATCGCATCTAGTACACAAAGAAAAACGTTGTAGAATCAATATAAAAACATTCCTGCAACAAAAGTGGCATTGACAGCAGCCGTAATGATCAGCAGTTTCCAAACCATGGCAGAGAAGCAGGTGGATGTTGAGGCAGTGTCTGTTTCTCACTGGTCTAGGAACTGAGCGTGTCTAAAATCTCTCTGACAAACTGATGTGGCCCCTCTGATTTTTTTTGCTAAGGTAACATGTCACAGAGCGTCACTAATGGAGGTTTGCTATGGAGATCGGCTGTGTGACTTACTGATGCAAATAACGCACTTGATATTGTCTCCGACTCTTAATGTTTTGAAAAGCTG